CTGCTGAAGTCAGCAGGAGAACTCAGGAACTAAAATGCTGTCTACCCTGGATTACGGATCTAGAATCCAGAAGTAGGTCATCCACAAGCAGATTATATAGTGCTACCTGCAACTACTGTTTTTGTGATGTGGCCAAAGACCCATCAAGAAGTGAAGGTTTCCATGTTCCATCCTACCTATTTCATTGCCACCTATATCACTAAATCACAAATGCTACCTCTCTGAAAATGATTAATATGAGATCAGTATCATTCAAGTTTTTAGTGGCGATGCTTTATTCTTCACACAAAAATAAAGATTCTTAAAGTGGAATAAGGTCTTCTGCAGCTACAGTCCTCCATCAGAAAAATAGCAGAAGTTATCAGAGTTCAGACTGCTCCCAGTGCAGATCTGTACAGCTAAAGACGGGCGTGCACAACAGTTACGAAATACTTATGGGATTAAGGGTAGCAAAAGAAGTGACTAGCCCTGTTCTTACTCTGCTGCTTTCTACCACTACTGCAATATCTAATTTTTTTTGAGAAATATTAGTCAATGTGCAATCCCTCAAGTTGCTGTCATCACACCAATCACAAGGATATTTTTTTTATTTCATAATTTAATGTAACTACACACACCATGAACTTTGGATAACAAAATGGCAAGTGTGACCTCTTTTACCTTTTATTTTAGCACATGCCTCTCATGACGCTTCTTCAAAACATTTAACCAACATCTACATCACAGTGGGAAGAGAGGAGGAGGACTGGTATGTTTAGCTCTCAGATGGAGAAGCTCTGACAGAATGATTTATTTACTGAATCCACTCTCTTGCAGAGTCCAGACTAGAAGTCAGAGCTCCCTCGTTTGCACCAGGGAACAAAATTCTTAACTAACGTCGAGCAGGGTAAACTGGTGAACGTCAGTGGAGGTGCATCACTGACTCCGAGTTGACTCTCTGTTGACAGCATTTCACCAACTTGCAAAACGTACGTGGAGTCTTGCAGAAACAAGGATTATTACATGAATATGCAAGTGACAGTAACTCCAGTCACAAAAAGGGGCAATAGACTTGAACACTCTCCTTTGAGCAGCTGGGCATGCTGCTGTACTAAAGAACACTAAAATCGCCTGTCCTTAACCAATAACTTAACGACATCCTTGAAATGCCCGGTTCCTGTTTCCATAGATTTTGATGTTAATTTGGCAAAAATAGGACATAGGTACTGAGCAATTCAATATTTTTGAAAATCATGTAGCATTTAATTCTTTACCAGAGTTTTGCCTGTAGAGCGACCCCTTCCAAGGAAACAGCAAGGGAGCACTTGGAATTCTTAAATACAGATTTGATCTGCAAAGCTCTTGACTTCTGGCCCTTATCCCACAGAGCTCACGCTTAACTTTAAGCACATGTTTAGTCTCACTAATGTGAAGCGCAAGTTTAAATGAGTTCTTGGAATGAGTCTGTACCACTCAGCATCTTGTAGAACTAATCTTCCACGTGTTTATTGTTACAGATACAGTTCTACTACAATACTTCACATTTTCTTTAGGAATCAAAATGGTCATTACCCCACTATGTTTCATGAATTATTCCAAACAAATTTGAAAAGATAAATTGCCAGAGCTAAGTGGCCACTTGAAATGGCACAGAGAAAACCCAAAAGACACTGCAATTATTTTCCTAGTCTGAAGTTCACAGTAAACAAGTACATGTACCCATAAATGCAGATTCTTTACCAAACATGATGTTACTTATATTCCTGGACTTCTAAGGACAATGTATGAATTAAAACATGAAACCAATACATGTCACCAATAACTACGTAGGTCATAAAAGACTGAATTTAAGAGATCTTGATATCTCCCATTTAAATTAACCTTTACTCACCTTTCCATAGCTCAGCAGGATTATCCTCACCAGGACAACATTAATGTGAGCACCCAAGGACTCATCGTGGTAAATTTCATTAACCTGCAACAGAGCGTTCATAACGTTAACCACGGCCCGGGCAATAAGTAATTAAAGCACTACCTTTTCTGCACTGCCATTACGAAGAAGATCACTTGTGATCAGATATAAAAATGGCAAAATTCCACTGGCACGAGAGGGGATTTTTCCCTTCTAAACTCTAAAGCTCCATCACAGTCTCCAGACTTGCCACCATTCAGGAAACCATTTAAAAGCAAGACAACACCATCAGAGTCTTGGCGTTACCGGGTATTTAAGTTGCAGCCCGCGGAGGAACAGACTTGCCCGCGTCTCTGTGCGTGCTGCGCCCTGGTGCACCCGCGTGGAGCAGCTGAGCCGATCTGACAGCGCCCGCTCTGTCACGGCTCTGCCCTTCTCCCTGCCCAGCGCCCGGCTGCGAGCGCCCGCCTGAGCCCGCAGCAAACTGCTCCAGCACGCAAATCCCAGCAACAACCGCAGCAGTGCTCTGCTGGGCAGGACCACGCAGGGGAAGGTGCAGGGGCGAGTAGGGGGACAGGCTCTGCCACTGCATCTTCCATGAGAGCCGTTTGCTAGATCAGCTCAGCTGCATCATGTAACTCCTCCATCTGGGACTCATCAAATTACATTCTGACAAGAGGCTACACCTCCCTCAAAAAGCATGGCCGGCCGCATGGGCTGGCTTTATTTTGTGTCAGAGCTAATCAGTGTTAAAACTTTGCAAGCAGAACAAAAGCTACAAAACGCCAGCAAACAAAAAAACTTTCTTTTTTTTTTGTACTAGAGCTACGCAACTGAACATGCACACGGACAAAACACCCTAGGAACACTGGAAAAAAGAGCTGTAAATATTTAGAGAGAAGAATGAAATGTGGATGTATAAAAATTACTTAGGAAGCACCACTACAAGCAAGCCAGGCAAATATTAACCGTTAAAAAGGCCGACAGAGATAATCGGTGATGGAGAGATGCCCGAGACCCTTCATTTGAGCCAAGGTACTCAGCCAAATGGCAGGAACGTAGCTTTATAAATGAGAAGAGGCAGATGAGATTCCCTGCAAGGCAGGAGTCTTTCCTGAGACCTCTTTC